AGTCCTGAGCCCCGGGGGACAGGGTAGTGCCTCCTCCTCCTCCCCCCCCCCCCCGCCTTCCTGTCTGAGCCCTGGGAGGGGATTTTTATCCATCCTCCCACCCCACCCCACCCCCCATCCTGAGCACCGGGACAGGGTTATCTATCCTCCCTCCTTTTCCCCCCCCCCCTCCTGAGCCCCGAGGGGGAGGGGACAGGGTTATCCCTCCTCCACCCACACCCCGTCCTGAGCCCCGAGGGGGAGGGGACAGGGTTATCCCTCCTCCACCCACACCCCGTCCTGAGCCCCGAGGGGGAGGGGACAGGGTTATCTTTCCTCCCTCCCCCGCATTCCTGAGCTGTGGGGGGAGGACAGGGTTCCCCTCCACCCCAGTAAAACGTCCCTCTGTTCTGCGATAACTGAATATTTAGTTACTTCCTGAATCTGCGGGTCAGTGACTTGGGAACCCAGGAAATGTGACACTCTCCCCCCCATCCCCTCCCACCCTAGGGAAATAGTCTGGCTGCTAACAAGCTGTAAGGCCTCCGCTTTACGGACTGTATTTCTGCCCTGCTGTCTTCTACCCCTGCCCCCACAATTATTGTAAATGAATGTATCCGTATGATGTATCCTTTCTGAGATTGTAATATTGCTGGTGAAGAGTGTTGCAGCACCACTTACCTCCCTTGCTAGGGAATAGTTCTTGTAATGCCAGGGCTCTTTGCCTCTCGCTACAGTTCTGAGACTTTCATGGGGCTGCCACAACCCTGACCCTATGCCAGGTTGGTGCTGCTTTCACTTAGCCCTCAGTTGTGAAGTTTCCACCTCCACTCTAAGCATACCACAGGCATTGAAGTTTCTTATTAGCTACGTAGCCTAAAGCCCACCACACTGTTGCCTATCTCCATATTCTTGTTTCTGACATGGGCGAGCTGGCAATTGCCTGGCAACAGTAACTGAGTGGCTCAGACAAGTAATGAGTATGGAGCCTTTGACAGCTAGGGTAACCATTTGAATTCTTCCCTGGTTGGTAGTGGCTGGAAATTGTTACTATCTAGTGCCTGTTTGTGGTCTATCGTTTGAAATGAGTATAGTGGTGTCAGTCCAGTTCACGTGACAAACCATCATCATCCCAGTTAGCAATAACTGTTCACTCGGTATTGAGTAGGCCTGGGAACTAAATTCCCCTCTCATCCCTAAAGATAATCTCTCTCGGATGAGGTTGAGACAAAGGCATGAAAAAGTAGGAGAGGATGCACAGCAGGTGCCAGTGTTGTACCTGTTTTGTGGATAGAGGATTTCAGTCTTCAGGGCTTTCATGTCACAGATTTTCAGAAGCGCTTCTTTCATGCATGCAACTCAAACAAAAATAGGCAACACTGCTATTGAAGGTGCCCTGAATTTATGTATCTTCCATCCAAATGATTTGTTTCGCAAATATGTGTGAGGAACCTTGTAGAAATGAATTATTACACTTGTTCTATCTAAGGCACAATTACACATCTCTGTGTTCTTGGAGTAAACGCCAATCATTTAAAGACATGGGGAATTCTTCAGATCAGCCCCTGGCTGTGTTCCTGGATAAATATTAATACGTGCTATGTGACTGATGTTTTGACACTTGCTCCCATCATCAACATACCTTTAGTGCAATCGTACATGTATCGTTTGACTGCTATGTTTTATTTAACTGATTTTACTTTTCTGGTTTTTATATAAATAAAAATCATAGAACTGGAAGGGACCCTGAAAAGTGATCGAGTCCAGCCCCCTGCCTTCATTAGCAGGACCAAGTACTGATTTTTGCCCCAGATCCCTAAGTGGCCTCCTCAAGGATTGAATTCACCATCCTGGGTTTAGCAGGCCAATGCTCAAACCACTGAGCTATCCCTCCCCTCCTAAATTATTATTATTATTTCTTCAAGGTTGCTCATGGAAACTTTTGTTTGACAATAGTACAGAATTGTGACTTTTTCCAATCATACAAAATACCCCACTTTTTCCTGGGAGGGAGGGCAAAAACCTAAAGAGGTTTTAGAAATGAAATGCATACTATGATTCATTTAGGCCATGTCTACACTAGCACTTAGGTCAGCAAAACTTTTGTTGCTCAGGGGTATGAAAAAACACCCCTCGAGTGACATGAGTTTTGCTGGTATAAGCGCTCGTGTGCACAGCGCTATGCCAATGGGAGACGCTCTCCCACCGACATAGCTACCGCCGCTTGTTGAACTGGTTTTATTATGTCGACGGGAGAGCTCTCTCCCGTCTGCATAACACAGCCACACAAGCGATCTTACAGTGATACAGCTCTGTTGCTGTAAGCTTGTAAGTGTAGACATGGCCTTAGTAAACTTATTTATTCCTCAACTATTAAAAAAAAAAACATACACCTTGTCTCTAATGGAGATCTTGCACTTATCTAAGTAAAGTGCAAGAAGTGTTTCCAGTCTAATTAGTTAGGGCTATCACTCTTGTACCTGCCTACAGAAGCTGATAATGTAACCAATGTACCACCTTTTTCATCACCTACTATGGGCTTGTCTACCTTACCCGCTGGATCCACAGTTAGCGATCGATCTAGCGGGGGTCAATTTATCGCATCTAGTCTTTCCCCCACCCCCAGTGTAGACCAGACCTATGGTGTTACAAGGGTTTGACCAAACCAGTCTGAATGTGCTCAACACGTATTTGGTTGATGCAGACTTGACAAGACAGAAGCACAAGTCATAAAAACTGACAACATTCTGAATTCAGCTGTCCTGTCTTCCCTTATTTTACTTGTTCATTTTTGTTGCAACCTCCTTCACAAACAGATCTAGGTCTTCAGTTTTAAGTTTTAGAATAGCAGGAAGGATATTGGGGTTGCCTGGTAGCAACCATGTTTTAGACTTTTTGATGGTGGCAGGGGAATCTAAACCTGTGACATCCATGTTTGGGATCTGTCACATTGGTTAAGTATTGGAAAAGTTCTACAGCATTTCTGAATTGTTTTTTGACTTTGATTTTTGTGACTGCAGTTCTTTTAATTAGTTCAAGACAGATTTATATTACTGTTGCAGTCTGGGTGATAGCCTGTAATCTGTGAAATCCCTTTAATTGCTTTTGTAAACTTAGTGTCTTTGTCAGTTCCTTTGTTATGTAAAACATGCTATATTTTGATGAAAGTTCTCCTTGCGCTTAATGCAAATTTCAATATATTTATGCATCTAACTGCCATAACCTTCCTGTGTTCCACCAAGTGTAGTTGGGAAGTGGGAGTGATCTGTCCTCCTTTTTCAACCAACAAACCCAAGAAGGGTGAAGTGCTTCAGTCTCTTTTCGTTTCTCATTTTGTGCTACACTGAGGGGAATGAGGTTAGTGTTAAAGAACACTTTAGGCTCAAGTCTTTGCCTTTCAGTTGTTAGTGTCCTAATTGCTAATCTCTGGATGACAAAGATGAACAGACACAATTGAAGTCTCTGTTAGCAATCATTCTGACTGGAGTGATGATGACAATAGCATTGAAAACATCTTATTTGCAGGATCATCAAACTAATCAATGTTTTTGTTGTCTTCAATAGACAGTTTCATTTGATGGATCATCTGATATTAAAGAATCCAAGAACCTACTTTCTGCACTTTGAGCTGAGCACATATACTATTTTATGTACATATTGCTTTAGATGACTTTTTCATTATTTTAGTCCATTCAGTGGCTTGTTTCCTACGACTTCCTTCAAAATTAGGCATGCTAAGTCAGATAACATCTAACAAATTGCTTGTTTGCAGCTCTTCCATTCACTAGCTAGAATGCAGAACAACCATCTAATGAGATCAATATGGTGAAGATCATAACATAAAATGAGCTAGTCAGTTTTATTCAGAGCTGTGTATTAGGTGCCATACCAACCTTCGAGCTAAGATTGCTATAGGCCTCCTAACGTTCACTGCTCCACCCACTTCCCTCTTGTTAACAGTTGATCACCTATTAGCAATGCACTGCTCTGAATCACCACTGATTCCCCTCTCGCTTCATAGACAGTTCTAAAACTTTCAAAATAGGAATACTAAGAACCTTGATGTGCTCATTACCTTGAGGGAAAAAAAGTTCTTATTCACACATTAAAATTAGAGCCTGTCTCTAACATCCATATCTTCTGTTCAAGTATGTTATCTTCATGTGAATGCTTCAGAGTGACAGGTGTTTAAAAAAGAAAAAAAGAACCTGATGTAATTTTTTTGCTATTTGAAACCTGTTTTTTTCACAAGCCTGATGAACTATTTACATAGCAGAGAGCTACAGACAAGTATTCAAAATCTTATATAAGATTGAACCTGAGTGTAGATAGTGGCTAACGTTCAGTAATGTTGCAGTCTATCATCTTAAACTAAACCTTTGAGCTACATCAAAGTGGTCTTATAAGTAATGCATCCTCCATGAACAATGGTAACCTTTTACTAAAGGAAAAAAAACTCATCTGCTGTAGTGTGCTTGCAACACCTCAAATGTTGACAAACAATTCCTTATAGCAATTACTCTTCTATTGAAGCCTGGCGCAATGCAAGCAAACGAGTTTGACTCATCTGATGAAGAGCCTATTCAAGATGATCAGACACCATTTCAGATATCATGGTAAGACAAATATTTTTTTGAGCAAAAAATCGTTTGTAATCAGATACCCTCGTAGATGTTTCACTCAGCAATTTCTGGCCTTTCAGAAATATCCCAAGTAACATATATAGGGTTTGAAGAACACTTGTATGCTGCTTGCAACTAAATATCTGCACTAAATGTGGGCCTAAATATTCATAAAACCACACAGCTGGACAACAGATAGTACCTGTCCTAAAGAAACCTGCAGCAGGCCTCTGTTTTCAGTGATATTTCAGAGAAGTCCTAGAAATACAGTGGAAGCCCGCTATAACACGATCATTGGGGTCCAAAAAATTCAATCGGGGTAAATGCGGGGTCG